AAGTACTCAAAGAAAGTCAACTACATCTCAACTGTTCAAATGATCTCTAGGCAATGGCTTGATTCTCTCCTCTATAATATATAAATTTAGCTAAATGTGTAACTCTGAGATATGTGGAAAGAATGAATGAAAAGCTTTTAACGTTGCAACTAATTCTCGTTATTCCTTGCTGCTTTCATTCCTTGTTAATATTTGTTCTTCTCAGTTATAGTTTTCAACATGGTATCAGAGCCCCTGCTACAAAGCTAAATCCTTTTAATCATTTTTTTTTTCTTTTCCTCTTCTTCTTCTCCGGCAAAAAATGGCAATCTTCCAGCTGATCTTTCCACTGCATCCCCTTACTGCTCAGCAACCTGCAAATGTCTTTTAGCTAACAACGCCTTAGCTGAGGTTCAGATTCGGCTGTCTTAATTTTTAATGAACAACAATCAAAAAATATTGTTCAACCAACCTCTGACGACAAAGAATCTTCCACTGGCGTGCAACATGCGTACAAGTAATTTCCAAGCAAAGGGTCTCTGGCTTTCTAGACGGATCTATACCTGCACCATCCAAAATCTTGTAAGCTCGATCCACACTCATATGCCCAAATACCCTGCCTATAATCAGTGGGTTTTGATTGTCCAAAACATTATTGCTGGCATCTATACTCTATTATCTATTCCTGCTCGTGCTTACCTAGGTGTGTTTCCAAAATCTTATACATTGTCATGACCGTCCTGGACCACTTTAAGTCGACCCAAGAGACTTCCATCCACAAATTAGATCGGTAACTTCAAGCTTACCAGCTTCATCCATCTCACCCATGAAGGAACCTGTCAATGACTCAGTATCTTTCCAAACAAATCAAAGCCAAGTGAACGCCATGCAGCTGCCGGAAGTTCTATTGACCCTGAGGATATTATTTTATATATCTCAATGGCTTTACCAACCACGTATAATGCTTTCAAAAAAAACCGTCTATCAGAACTAAAGCTTCATACCATTCATTTGGATGATTCTATGCCTTACTTGCAGTGAAGAAATCAATCATTGTTGCGGAGTCTCTTAAAGAAGACTCATATCCAGGATACTGATCATCCTCCTACTGCCCTCAGTCCTCGGTTTCGTTGGTCCGTGGACGAGGCAGATCATTTGCCGCTTTTACTCGTGGGCGCAGTCGCTCTATACTCGCGGCGGAAGGCAAAACTGGCAGAGGAAATGCGTACTACTGATCGATCCATTTGCATGCCAAATTTGTTTTAAACAAGGGCAACACTGCGGCTAACTGCTGGTATAGGACTGATCTCAGTTATCAACCTCCACCACATTCGGCACTTAACTGCTTCCCACTCAACCGGCTCACTCAGACTGGTATTTTAGATACAGGTGCTTTCGTCACACCTGACTTCTGATCTTTCTCAAAATTCAGTGCAGACAAACCGTAATTAATGGTTCACAACAAATTTACTGTTGGGAACATGGTCAGACTTTACCCTATAGCAGCATCAGGTCAAGGTCTTTTTGCCAAACCCACATCTCGGTAAAGCTTCTTCTCTTCAGTCCTCTATATCATGTGCCTAATCTTACTCACAATCTTTCTTTCAGTAAAACAATTAGTCTCTAACAATAATTGCTCTATTATGTTTTGACCCTCATGGTTTCCATATCAAGGATTTTGAAGACCAACTCCACTCTCCTCCGCGGTCCAGCCATAGAGGTCTATATCCTGTACCTATCAACCCCAACATTATTTCCACCACATCTGCCTTCATATCTTCTCCAACGTCTTCCATATGGCACAAACGTCTGGGACATCCCTTATGTTGCACCTACCTGCATCATTGGAGCTCAAAATCTATGTTTTCATCTAATAGTCTTCGTCTCCTAAGTCTGTTTTGTAATTCGTGTATTCAGTCAAAAGTCGTAAAATTAGTTTTGCTTTATCTCCCATGTCTACCTCTAAAACCTCTTGCAACTTGTCCATGCGGATGTTTGGGGTCCTTCACCTATATCTTCATATTAATGGCTTTTAATTACTATGTGTTGTTTGTGACGTTTCTCTCGTTTTACTTGGTTTGTATCCCATGCTTCACAAATATGAGACATATATGCTATTTCAAACATTTTAAAACAACAGTGTTGAACTCAATTTGGTGAGAAAATTGTTGTCTTTCGATACTGATAATGGGCACTGGAATTCCTAGAATAAGCCCTTTAAGGAATTTCTTCTCCATCATGGCATATAACATCAATTGAGTTGTCCTTAACACCTCCTCAACAAAATGGTATTACCGAACGAAAAAATCGCCACATCATTGAAACAACTCGCACTCTGCTTCTTGATGCCAGTCCTAACCTTAATTCAGTTTTGGGTCTATGCCACTCTGACTGCGGTTGACTTGATAAAAGTCGTCTTCCCTCACTCACTCTTTCATAAACAATCTCCCTATGAAATCTTGTTTCATCAACAACCCATATTATAAGTTTCTCAAAGTTTTTGTGTTGTCAATGCTATCTGTTATTACCTTGCCAACATAAACATCACAACTTGCCACCTAAATCTTTGAAATCCATTTTTCCTGGGTTACTCAGATTCTTCAAGGGATATCTGTGCTCATAATATTTTTCCACTGGCCATAGCTCACCACATCTATTCATGTCAGCTTCAGGAACAGATTTTTTCCCTATCAAAAACTCATCTACCACTGTTCCCTGAATCTTCTAGCATATCAACCTCGCACTGTTCCTCCCACTTTACGCTTGTGCCAATCTGTTACCATCCATCTACTTCTGCAACACAAGCATCTCATATTCCTTACCAACGTTCCTCACCTCAACAAGTATGCTCCCTTCGTACTTATGCAAATCACCTACTTTCTCTTCAAACATTCCAATAACCTCCACATCCACGTCTGTACCCATGATCTCTCAGCTTTCTTCCTCTTGGCGAACTCATCACATTGCTCACAAGGCTTTCAAGCGGGTCCATCTGAAGCCTCGTTCAATGCTTACCGTGCTTGCAATACTACCTAGTCCTCCGGATCCACATTGTTTATACTGCTGCAGTTAAACATTCTCACTGGAGAAATGCTATGGTCTGAGGAGTTCCAAGCATTACAACACAAGGAACGTGACTTTAATTCCTTCAATGCCCCAAAATGAATATCTTTAGGATACAAATGGTCTTTCGAACCAAGTTTAAAGATGATGGTTCTGTAGCTCGATATAAAGGCACGACTTGTAGCTCAAGGCTACAAACAAGAGTATGACTGGTGGATTTACCCGAAAACTTTTAATCCTGTGGAAAAATTTCAAACTATTCGTGGCTCTTTTTTCACCAATAGCTATCAATCAAAATTGGCAAATTAATCACATTGATGTCTCCAATGAATTTTTGCATGGCAACTTACAGAGGATGTCTATATGGCTCACTATGGCTTCAAAAGATCCTTCACATCCCAACTATGTCCTGCAAGTTTAATAAGGCTATATAATGGGCTCAGCAAGCTCCAAGACAATTCTCCACTTTCCACTCGATTATACTACTCAAATGGGTGTTTCAATTCGCAGTGTCGATCCCTCATTATTCGTTTACACTCAAGTTACTACCTCTCTTATTCCTCATCTATGTTGATGAACATTTTGCTTATGGGTATTCTTCAGGCAAAGTTTTCCAAACTCTTTAGCAAGAACCATTACATAGAATTTTCAACTTAAAAATCTGGGTAATCTACATCACCTTCCTTGGCTTACAGTTCACCAAGCAGAGCATCTACCTTTTATACTGCATCAATACAATTATGCAAAATCCACATTGCAATAAAGCAGGATGGCCAATTGCCAAGTCTCTTCAAAATCCGGTTTCCAGCAAACTGATTCCTCTCAGCAGGCTGTTTTCTTCTTCTCCCGATCCGCAGCTGTACCGAAGTGCTTGCTGGATCACTATAGTATCTTACTCTACACTCGTCCGGATCTGGCAAATATGCGTGTTATTTGGTGTGTCAACATATGCCATGCTCCTTTAAAATACAACTTTCAATGCTTAATCGTATATTGAGGTATGTGCAAGGCATCTGGCAATTCTTGCTTAACCTAATTACTATGTGCAAACTGGAACTTATTGCCTTTGTTTGATAACGGAACTGGTGCCCGGAGACAAGCAAGAACCTGCAAAATCTACACCATCTGGGTATTGCATTTTTCTTGGTTCAACTCTTATTAAGCTGGAGTACCAAAAAGCAGGCCACTTTGCTCGCTCATCTACTGATTTCCGAATATAGAGCCCTCACTACTGCAGGCTACTGAGATTGGTATTGGCTACGTCGTCTTACTCACTGATGTTCAAACTTACGCCATAGTGCACCCACTTTCCTTTACTTGTGACAACATCTTCCGCATCTCTCTAGGCTAACAAACCCCTGTGTTTTCATGCCAGGACTAAACACATTGAGATAGATCAAATTATATTCGAGAATGGCATACAGAGACAAACTTATTCTTATTCATCAATTATTACCACCGAAGATCAACCTGCTGATATACTTTACAAAAGGATTAGCCGATAAAACGTTTCTATTATGCTTCGTGACATAATTTAACGCTCCGCCCTTAGATCCTAATTTGAGGGAGGCTGATAAAAGGCTATAATCTAGAATACTCAAAAAGCTGATCAACACATCACCAACTCAACTCAAAGACATCACTCTTTGAATCTGACAACAGAAACAGAGCACTCAAGTACTCAAAGAAAGTCAACTACCATCTCAACTGTTCAACATGATCTCTAGGCAACGGCTTGATTCTCTCCTCTGTAATATATAAAATTTTAGGCTACTGTGGTACTTGAGATAAATGTGGAAGAATGAATGAAAGCTTTATTAAACGTTGCAACTAATTCTCTTATTCCTTGCTGCTTTCATTCCTTGTTAATAGTTGTTCTTCTCAGTTATAGTTTTTCAACATGAAATCGGTCGTATAGTTTAAGTGTTGTCCCGAATAAATAATAAGGGTAACCTGCTAAGTCGATGGGGATGGAGGGGTTCCTCGTCACGGAAAAAAAAACAAAAAAACAAAAAACAAAATAATTTCAAAGACAAAGTTGACAGGTTGCAAACGAAGCCACGGCACTAAAATTCTCGCGCAACTGTCACCAGTTAATCGAAAGCCCCACGCAAGATCATTGGACCCCCACCAATACATTCATTACATTTCTTCTTCATCGAGAACCTCCTACCTCCGCTCCGTATTCAGGAACCTACCACAAACACCTATGCCGGATCCCGGCGAAGCCCCGCCACACTCTTCCACTTCAACTGCGAAAATTCTCTTCAAGAGCTACGAACTCGGCCGCCTCCTCGGTGTAGGTGCCTTCGCCAAAGTATACTACGCTCGCCACACTCGCTCCGGCCACGGCGTCGCCATCAAAATCATAAGCAAGTCCAAATCCCTCCGATGCGGCCTCTCCGTTAACATCCATCGCGAGATCTCCGCCATGCGTCGCCTCCACCATCCTCACATCATCCGTCTACTCGAAGTCCTGGCCTCGCGCTCCACCATCTACTTTGTCATGGAGTACGCAAAAGGCGGTGAACTCTTCGCCCGCCTCTCATCCCGAGGCCGCCTCCCAGAACACCAAACCCGCCGCCTTTTCCACCAGCTCATATCCGCCGTCGCCTTTTGCCACTTCCGCGGCATCTTCCACCGAGATCTCAAGCCCGAAAACCTCCTCCTCGATGAATCAAATAACCTGAAGCTCTCTGATTTCGGACTCTCCACTGTTAAATTCGATGGAGAGGCACTTCTCCAGACGCTCTGTGGTACGCCCGCATACGTTGCACCGGAGATCCTGTTGAAGAAAGGGTACGATGGCGCTAAGGTAGACATCTGGTCTTGCGGTGTTATTCTCTTTGTGATGAATGCGGGGTTTCTTCCATTTAATGATCCGAATCTGATGGCGATGTATCGGAAGATTTGCCGAGGGGAATTCCGATGCCCTAAATGGACTTCGGCTGAGCTGAAGCGGCTGATTTCGCGGCTGTTGGATACGAATCCGGCGACGCGGATTACGATTGAGGGAATATTGGATGATCCGTGGTTTAGGATAGGGATGGATGAGGAGAATATGAGGAGATTGATGAGATTTCGAGAGGATATTGAGGATCGGATCTTGAAGATTGAAAGCGAGGATGATGAGAGGGATTTGAATGCGTTTGATATAGTCTCAATGTCGGGGGGATTTGATCTGTCGGGGTTCTTCAATCCCACGGCGGCGGCGAGGGAGATGTTCGTGGTTGGGGGAAGGGTGGAGGAGATATTGGAGAGGGTGGAGGTGTTGGGGAGGGGAGAGGGTTTGGGAGTTCGCCGACGGAGGAGAGGTGGGAAGGGGAGGGGCGGTGCTGCCGTAGAGGGCAGGATGGGGAGCCTTGTGGCGTGGGTGGAGGTTTTCCGATTATCTCCAGAGATGGTGATGGTGTTGGTGGAGAGGGGGAGTGGGGAGGAAGCTGAGAGGTTAAGCGGTGAGTTCTGGAAGGAGAGTTTGGTGACGAGAGCGAAGAGAAATGGCGACGAGCTGCCGCAACCGCCGGCGGTGGAAGCGGTCGGCGAAGCCTCGGCTAGTGGCGAGTCGACGAGCGGTTCATGATTACGTTCACCGCCACGCCGGTTTCGAGTACATACGTAACGTCGGCCGCCGAGATGATAAAGGTTGCGCCGGGTTTTGAGTACGCGGTACGGTTCGGTGGGGTGGGAGATGAACCGGAGCCAGCTGCTGGAACCTTCCTAGCTCGACCGGGCTTCACTGCTCGACCGCCTGACCGGCAATAGAAGTCATTTGGAGTAGGAAGATGATGCTGTAAATATTTGAATAAATTTCCGAAAATTTTTTGTATCGATAAATTGTAACTTCAGTTTGTAATTATAATACTTATGCCTAAAAGTAGAGGTGTCGATTATTGACCCGACCCAATAACCAAGTCTAAAAAATTTGAGTTCAAGTTAACCCATTTAACAAATCGGTCGAGTTCAATTTTTAATTTTGACTCATTTGAAAAATCAAGTCAGATCTGGGTCAACCTGCTAATCCAAATTTAACTAGAGTCCTCCTCTGACATTACAGGTCACCTAGTGCATGCGCCTCACATCGGTTCAAGTCAGCCCGCTCGCACATGTTGATTGCAGTCGCACAGGAGCTTGTGGCGGCACAGCCTCACCCTTGCTAGCTCACAGTCGCACTAGCGCTCGCAACCGCATAGTCATGCACTCGCGCGGTCCCAACCTCGCCCGCAGTCGCACACTCCCATGCACGCCCTCGCTCACAGTCATTCTTGTATAGTCCCGCACGTGGCCCGTGCGACACTCTCTGGCTGCTCTTGTGCACCCGCATGTTAGGCCTGGGTCTAAAATTTTTTGTTAATTTTTAGTAATAAAAAGAAAAAAAATAGTCTGACTCGAGTTCAATTTTCAATTTTGACTCATTTGAAAAATCAAGTCAGATCTGGGTCAACCTGCTAATCCAAATTTAACTCAAGTCCTCCGACATTACAGGTCACCTAGTGCAAGCGCCTCACCTCGGTTCAAGTCAACCCGCTCGCACATGTTGATTGCAGTCGCACAGGAGCTTGTGGCGGCACAGCCTCACCCTTGCTAGCTCACAGTCGCACTAGCGCTCGCAACCGCATAGTCATGCACTCGCGCGGTCCCAACCTCGCCCGCAGTCGCACACTCCCATGCACGCCCTCGCTCACAGTCATTCTTGTATAGTCCCGCACGTGGCCCGTGCGACACTCTCTGGCTGCGCTTGTGCTACCCACATGTTAGGCTTGGGTCTAAAATTTTTTTGTTAATTTTTAGTAATAAAAAAGAAAAAAAAATAGAGTCTGACTCAACTTTTACTTATATTTTAGATGTGAGCACAAATTTCCCCTGAGAAGATTGGTCGATGGATGAACATGGCAGTTATAGATGCGTGAAATTCACAGATGAATATATTTTAAGTGCTTCATGCTTGTTGTTTAAAAGACTGGTTGGCAACTCTTCACCTTCAAGTAGTTATATTTTAATTATTATCATTAATTTTTAGTAACTCAATTTATTTATATCATTTAGATGAAAGCTCAAATTTCTCTTGAGAAATTTGGTCAATGGAAGAAGATGATTTACTTAAGTGCTTTAGTTTAGTAGTTTAGATCTAATATGTAGAGAGAGCAAAAGATTCAATAAGAATAAGAATATAAGCATAAGTTTACTATTGTTTTTTGTTTCTCTTAGCTTAGAGCACATAAAGAAGGGAGAGAAATTACAATAAGATTTTCAAGTTTATGACTCAATTAAAATTCAGAGTATAATCATGTGAAGACCTAATTATGGCCTCTTTATAGGAAAAGGCAAAATGAGAAGGTGCTTAGAGTACAAAAGGTATATGTTAGGTAGCTTCATAATGGGAGATATGTGCCAAGATTTTAGTGACTTAAAAGATTGGTTGGTGATAGTGTGGAATATAGATATTATTTTGAATCAGTTAAATAATATTTCAAAAGTTATTATACTTTTAAATTGATAATTATTTTCATCATAATATAGATATTATTGTGTTTTAATTATAATAATTTTCTTTTAATTTTATGAATAGTGTAAATATACAAAAACAATCTTCTTATTTAATTATAATTTCTTAAGAAAATAAAATATGTTGGTACAAGTGAGTTGTGTTTTAATTACAATAATTATGCTATCTGTATTTTTAACAATCTTCCACTATATAACTTTTAGTATTTTATTATTTTAATCATCCTACACATATTGATAGGAAAATATTAAATTTTCATTGGTTAGTTTATAATTTGGAGGGAATTTTTTAATTTGGGAAAATTAGATAAATATGAAAGGATAAATAGATATCAAAACCTCATAATATCAATGCATGACAAGCATACTTGTTACATTGGGTTGGTGAACCTTAAATTAAACACCGCGCATCATCATCTTTCTAAGCTTCTCATTATCAACCTTTCTTTAGCAAGATTCTTTATGTTCTTACTCTCACTTTCCCTTCAATATTCTTCCTTTCATCTCTCTGCTTCAGTGTATTTCAATTCGTATTTGTTGTAGCAAGCATAGTATATATTTCTGGTATTTCTACAAAACCTTCATTAAAACTCTGAAGTAGTATTCTAAAATTCAATAACCTATGGCTTGCTAAATTTCAGTTGTATTATAATTTCAATCACAATTAAATAATTATCTTTTTTCATGCTTTAAATATATTTTATTAAAATTTAATAATAAAAGTGTAAATGAAATCACAAGTACTAGGACTCTACCCATACTAAATTGCATTTATTGCCTTCCACAAAAGACCAATCATCCACATGATTAATTATTCTGTGCGGACGCGAATGCCATCAGGAGACCAATCAAAATGTGTCACGTCACCCCTTACTCGGTACCGCGGCTCTATACTGCTCAGTACCAGTCGATGTTGCAAACGTGCCGCATTCTAGTTGATCTCCGAATAACTTTTTGAGTTCGATCTCCGCACAGAATAATTTCTCCATCCACAAATAGTTAAGTAAATAAAAAAGTGGACACAAACTTGTTTACTTGAAAAACTTTAAAAAAATAACAAGGCATAATTCAGTTTAAACAACTTTTAATAGTGATATATTAATTTTAATTTTAATTTTTATCAAATTTGGAAAAGGCAATAGTACCAGGTAAGCAAAAGATTAGGTTAATTCTTACAAGTATCATTAGCATTAGCGACACAATAAGCTTGAATATAATCACAATCCTCCTATGAGAGGCAAAGACCATTACCTCAAGGTGGCAAATAAAGCTTCTAAGAAGTCGAGGTGGTCGTTGGGTTGGACGAGAATTTCCTCCTCATGAAGGTGAAAATGAAGCCTCCTGGGGTGATTGGTAAAATGAAGTTGAAAGATCAAACCGTCGATTGAGAATTATTATAATGATACTACTTTTGGATGTGAATGTGGCATAATTAAGTAAAAAAACGGTCGATGATGCCAACAAGGATGAACACCTCGAACCAACACTATGTCAGAGAAGGAGAAGAAAGGAAATAATAGACAGAGCCAGAGATCCGAGAAGATCTGAGATGAAACCCTAGACGAAGCAGAGCCAGAGATCCGAGAAGATCTGATATTAAAAAAAATGCTATTCAAGTTTATGAATAAAAATTATGTTGTTACAAATTATAAAACAATGAATTTAAAAAAAATTAAATTTATTTTTAAATTAATATAATATAAAAATTTTAAATATAGTATTAATTTAAAAAAAATTAAATAAATTTTAAATTTATTTTAATATAATTTGTATCATAATATTTTAATATTTTGTATTTAATAGTAAATATGTTTATTGAATATTTTTATCTTAGAATTTTATTGGATTCTATGATCATGCAAACTCATCAAGCAATATCAATTTTATAATTAATTTTGCATGCTAAGTTTTCGTTAATTTGGAACGATTTTTTTATTATTTTTTAAAACAATTTCTTAGTTTAATAATTAAAATTTTTTACTAGAAAGCTGCTTTAAGAATCATTAAGAAAACAATCCTAAATGAAGCCTAAGAGTCTATTTAGGATGGTTGTAATGTTTTATAAAATTGATTGTGAAATTACTATGGATCAGAAAGCATGTTTGATACTATAATTGCAAAAAATTGCTTTACATCACAAATTTATTTTTTAAAAACAGTGAGAATAATAGTTAAATAAATTTTAATTGTTGTCTAAAAAATAAAGCAACCAAAAATTTGTTTAAAAAAAAATCCTAAATATCCTCTAAATAATTGTGTAACATTTATCAAGGCTTTTAATACCAGACCGGACCGGCCGGTTCAACCGGTTGAACCGCGAACCGGCTGGCAAGCCGGTTACGATTCGCCTGAGAACCGTTTTCGCGTCGACCGATCTCAGACAAAAACCGGCTCCAATTTCTCATAACCATTTTCGCGTCGAATGGTTGGCTTCTTGATCGACGGCGACTGTGCAGCATCTTCGCCGGAGGTAGGGGCGGATGCAGCATGGGGGCACGTGCCCCCACTGACTTTATTAATGTGTCATTATTATAATATTTAAATATAATAAATATTTATTACATCATCCGGTTCGACCCCGGTTCGACCCCGGTCGAACCATCAAACCTCTAACTCCTCCTTCCGGTTCATTGACCGGTCCGATTTTAAAAGCCTTGACATTTATACTCTGATATAGATATTTCTAAGCATAAAATGACAGATTCTTCCTTAAAAACATTTTTATTATTGAGCAATTATTATAATGATAATATTGCCCAGCAAATCCCATAGAGAGGACCCCACCAAAATACTTTTTTTTTTTAACCCCACTAAAAGGCTCTGCTTAAAGAAAAAAAAATTATTGATAGCTTATTCAATATTGAATTATTGATACTTTAGGAAATTTCTCTTAGCTTTGCTGGCAGGTCTGCCCGTTGAGGGAACCCTATAATTTGTTAACGTGGGACACCTGATTAGCGTAGCCACTAATTGAAGAAAACGTGTAAACAATTAACTTAAAAAGGATTGTCGGCCACCTTTACTTCTTTCTGAAGAACATACAGCCTTTTAATTTGGAAATAATGAGACGCTGAGGAACACGATAAGGACACGAAGGCATTATAAGCTTTGCTGTGCTTCTTCTTAAGTCGGTACTATATTTAATTAACTTCTCCAAAAAATTATGAAGTGTTATTATTTTCAATTCTAATAAGAGAATAAGTTCTTAGTTATAATAGTGAATATCTGTTATTTGGCCTCCTATGATATTGAGAGAGTTATTGAAACATCTATTTCTACACATATAACTCTTATGTTCGCAATAGCTAATTGCATTTTCTCTCTACTAGACAAAGTTATCACTACAGGAAAGTCAGATATTTACGGCAGAAAAATCCGGCCCAAAACAAGTTAAATCAGTCGCAA